ACAAGTGGAAAAAATATTCTGTAATATTATTTCCACTGGAACAAATATTACAGTATTTGTTCCTTACGGAATAAAGGTTATAGAATATTTGTTCCAACAGGAATCAGGACCTATATTAAATACCAGATATACTAAAATAAATGGAGAATGTGTCCATGGGACACAGATAATGCCCCCCGTGCATTTAATATTATAAAAGGTCATAACTCAAGAACGGTAAAATTGATGCCACCCAAATTCAAACAAGATCTGAGTTTTGTGGTTACTGTCCGGCAATAAGCATTGAGTGTAAGTTTCATAACATTTGGTTGAGGCAAGAAAACAGAAACAAAAATTTCAGAAATTATTCTATTTTAAAAGGGGCATAACTCTAGACATGCTAGAACGGTAAAGGTGACGCCATCTACATTCAGACTTGATCTGTGTTTTGTGGTAATAAGCATTGTTTCATAATATTTGGTTGAGGCAAAATAAAGTTAGAGAACGGAAACTAAATTTTTTTTCCTTTCACAAAACAATTTTTTCAACAAAATGAGAATAAAAACAATTTGTTATATAAAACAAATCATCTTGTCCTCATTTAAATTCTTTTTTACTGCCAATTGAATTTGTTTTCCCCCCAAAAAACTTAAACTTTTGTATGCTCACCTAAAATAAAGACTTTTAAACACCTCTGTTAGATAAGATAAATCATTGAATATTATCTATTCTCGATTTAAATATGAATAAAATTGAAGCATATTGTCTCATCTTTCAAAACCCCTTTTCTGTTGAATAATAACACACTGAGATGCAACAACACATGTTATTATTAACCACACTATTTTTAGACTCAGTTGTCAATTTTGTCAATATCCATGCAGTTCTATTTTTAATGAAAGTGGACTTTCGCTTTCTCGACCTTCAAACGACCAAGTTGCTTTTCGATGAAAAGCCTCCCCAGTGTCTATATTGACAGTAAAAAATCTGATCCGTTCGGTAATGAACTATTGACTGTCAAACGGCAGAGAAATAAAAAGTTACAGTCGTGCACCTGCTGACAACAATCAAAGTCTCGATTTCGAGTTGTTTCAAAATTATCCCTCTCACAACTAGAAAATATACGTACATATTTTACTTTTGTACAAATTCAACTACTTTCATGACAGCAGGTTAAGTTTTCTAAATGTTTTAATTGAAATGAAACACTTGACAGCGATTGTTTTCGATTCCTCCATTTTGTTATGTCACAAGTTTTTTTCTCTCAACATTCTTTTAAAAAACATTGTGTTTGACAACGTAAATACGCCCGATACGAGTATATGGAATGCATTTAATGTTTATAATACTATTTATGGATTAACTATGTCAAGAAATTTGTTATAACGCTATTTTTTCTGTTTGCATTGTGACTGTCTAAAAATAGAAATTTATGTATCATTAATCGGCATCTGGACCGGTGAGCCAATAGGATAATTTTGGCATGTGCACAAGGGTGCCAAAAGGATATATTCGGTATGAAAGGGTTAATTAATGGTATTGCTGATCACTTTTGCTTTCAGAGTGTCTATCTATCTTTTAATTAATGTTTTCAAGATAATTATATATATAATAGGCAAAAAACACTAAAAAGAGGTAGAAATCGTCATTAAAGAGCAATAATTCCAATAAAAAGTCATCAAACTATTTCCGTCTTGTTGCTCGATTTGAAAATCTTGTCTAACTTTCTCATCATTTTTGCAATTTAAATTTTCTCTCAATCATTTATATACATTAGTTTTCAAGATAATAGGCAAAAATGAGAAAAATAAGAAAACTAAAGGATAGAATTATATAATAAAATATAAGATGATAGCTCTTATTTATAATGTACTTTCAGATAATAAAAAGAAACAAATGGAATCACTATAGAAAAACATTCTTTAAAACAAATAGGTTAATTCGGTGTCCATTATTGTATAAAATTCAATTATTTGAGTCATCTCCCCTTATACAGCTTATATCATTTTTAATTTTAGTTTCTTGTGTATAATTTGGAATTTAGTATGACGTCCATTATCACTGAACTAGTATACATATTTGTTTAGGGGCCAGCTAAAGGACGCCTACGGGTGCGGGAGTTTCTCGCTGCATTGAAGACCCATTGGTGGCCTTCCGCTATTGTCTGCTCTATGGTCGGGTTGTTGTCTCTTTGACACTTTCCCCATTTCCATTCTCAATTTTAATTTTTAAAAAATGAATCACAAAAATACTCTATATTTGTAGAAACAGTAGGGGGGGGGGGGGGGGGGGGGGGGGGGGCTAGGATGAAATTTAAAAAAAAAAGGCAGGACAGGAGTTTTGAGTAAAAAAAAAAGGCAGGATGAGCAACTTGGCAAAAAAAAAAGGCAGGATGACAATTTATGTTAAAAAAAGTCAGGATAAACTAATAAAAAAAAAGGCAGGACCGAACAGAGTGAAAAATAAAAATGCAGGACAGAGATTACTACTATAAAAATGCAGGACAAAATTTTTCATCCTAGCCCCCCATAAAAATCAAATGGTAGCTCCCTAAGAGCTGAACATATTATATATATATATATATATATAACTTTGCATAATATCTAATTTCTGCAACACAAAAAGCAGGAATCAATCGTGTACAAAAGTAAAAAAAATCAATTTTTGCATGGATGAGCCACATAAAAAATAAGCATGTGTAGCAAAAGTTGAAAATGAATAGTAAATCTGAAAAAAATCCTCCTCGACCCCACAGATAATATTTTACCCAATAAAAAGTTATATGTCTATGTTAATAAAGTCACGGGGGGTCTCTTCCTATATGAAGGTATATACATATGTGCCGCTGGAATGGGTCCCTTTTTTGATACGTCAAATATATCAATGGGGTGCAATTTTACCGAGGAAATATATCAATAGGTAGTAATTGACCAATTGTGATATATCAATATTTCCACAGACATATAATACAATTATATGTCTCTGATATTTCATATAAATTAAAGTCTATTATATAATTGAAAAGTGTTTTTGATATATAATAAGATTGTTTATGCATATAATTACTATTGAGCTGATAAATATATGAATGGTTTATGATTTCGCTGTGAAATATATGTATAGGTAGGGATTTCACAATTATTCAATATATGGGGGTGGGGGGGGGGGGGGGGGGGGGGGCAAGGGGTTTAACTGTTATGCTGTTTTGGGGCAATTTAATTCTTTGTTATCTGTTATTCTGAATATGTATTTACTGTTTGCTGTTATTGTCATATTCCTTGTTAGTTGTTATAGGACTATTATTTTTTTTGTTATCTGTTATTGTGAGAATGTATTTGCTGTTAACTGTTATTGAAAATTGGAATGTTAGCATTTTGACAGCCAATCTTCGGTAGAAATTGAAAATCGTTGAACATTTGGGTCTTACCACAAGTAATATGGTGGTCCCTTATTCGGAGTAGGATTCCAGTAACATACACATCATACAAACATATTAAAATCAGTCGGGTCCAGGACCATTCCAGTATATCTTATTATAATCCTGTTGTTATAAATTCCATTTTCTATGAACATGTATTTAGTGTAACCTAGAATTGGTTTACTCAATATATAATTATATTTTGTTATGGAATACATTTTTCAGCATTTATTGTTGTGCCTTAAAAGAAACGTTGCAGCACTCTGGCTTGAAATTTAAATAGTGTGTGTATTCTTAGAAAAAGAATCACAGAGCTGAGTCTGTGTTCCTTATTGTATAAAATTTATACAATAAGGAACACAGACTCGGCTCTGTTTAAAAAGGTGTTTCTGTCGTATGGACCTTGGCCTATCCTCATCAGGTATCCCTCACCATATGTTTTCCTTTTTGTAATATAAAGAATTGTTCAAATTCCATTTTCATGTATATATGGGGATAATGTTCCCTGTATCCCCATACGTAAAAATTAAATTGGAACAATTCTTAATATTAAAAAATGGAAAGCATATGGCCATTATATCATACAATATCTTAATTGTCATATAAACATAATTAGTTTATGCAAAAAACAAAAGCAAAAACAAACATAATATAGCAAAGAAATAACAATTCTAAAAGAAGGGAAGGAACACAAGGGAAAAAATATATATAGCTAGAGAATACATTGTATCTCCGTGTTATGATTAAAAACTGGTTGAACTTCTTTTATATATCAAAAAGATTACTAGAAATTTCTATTGGGAAAAGCTACCTTGGCTTTAACCAAAAACATGACTTTTCCTGCTTTTTCGCTAGGTCTTCTTAAAACTTGAAATAAGGTTACCATTACTCTTTATAAGAGTTCCTAGGAATTTATATTCTAATACATTTTTCATCATATTACCATTGTAGTTATGAAATGAGCCTACCCACCCGGCACGCAACGTCATTTCAACGTTGAAATGTGGTTGATATTTCGTCATGACGTTGCTTCAACGTTGTTTCAACGTTGTAACAGCAACGTCGAAGTTATGTTGCAGAAAGTAAGTTGATTCAACGTTGAATTTTAGTTGAATTTTCAATGTTGAAGTTAGGTTGAAATAAATATGTTGTTTCAACGTTAAATGTTGGTTGACATGTCGACGATGGAGGTTCGTCCAAAAAAAAAATTGTATGCATCGGTGTAAAAAATTATCCACCATCAGCGTTAAAGGCGAATCATTATAGTTGTACATCCTTTGTTATTGTATCAACAAAAGTTCATAAATAAGGATTTTGCTATGAAAATTGTAATCAATGTTTCCTATCATTTTTTTTTGTACAATATCTAGTAAAATTAGGAATATTCCAAAACCGGGACGTTTATCAAAATCATAAAAGTGTACAAATTTAAATTATCATTCATCGAAATATGCTACTAACTAATTTGTTATTATCCGGAAATCTTTTAATCAAAGATAAGACACAGCATGTGAAAGTGCGGCATCTACACAACTGATGCACGAGGATTAGCACTCCCAATAATCTATTGATAAAATTATCACGTGACATGATGCTGATTAATGTATGACAACACGTGTGTGACCGCCTTTTTCAAACGCGGAAATTGTATAATTATCCTGGACAATATTTAGGACCGTTTTCAGCAAAGAAGAATTCATACAAATGTAAGTGTTTCTTTAAATTATTATCCGTTGCTGTATTAATTGTCTTTTAATGCTTGTGTGATGTTAACAATGGGAGATTATAAATGCACAAACGTACGTGTATATTTTAAAAATCTCGCCATAGTGTATGTTGTAAAGATAACATTACTGACTTCAGTGTGTACATCGTCTTTTTTGTTGTACGTTCAAATTTATGACTGCACTTCTATATAAATATGTACTACAATCTGGAAAAACCATACTCAGCCTACATACAGCTCATTTTAGTTATTTACTGCTGATTTGTTAAAGAAAAGGAACTTTTGCGAAGTAAGATTATCATCTCCCCCTTTTTTAATAAAAATTTTAACCCGTCATCCATAATCACACTATTTTAATTATTGTCAACTATGCTCTGAAATTTTTAATAATTTCTTTTTACTCTTCAATCGAATTTTACAAATTTAAAATATTGCTTGGCGATGATGATCAATGTTATTCTTATTTTTTTGCACAGGTATTAGAGACAGAACAGTAACTTAGGGAAAAGACAGATCAGTAACTTAGGAAAGAAAGATTTAAGGATAAAAGTAATAGCTGTCAAGGTATGTATTTTTTTAAAGATTTTTAACATTTTTGATTATCAATAATCAGTATGTATGTTGGATTGCCTGTGTTGTTTGTGTGAACTTTGTGATTTTAATTGATTTATATGCTCTAAATTAGGAATACTAGTAAAGACATTTGATTTGATTTGATTTGATTTGGATTACAATTTTTTTTAATGCATATCAAATTTAAAACATAACCTCTGCAATCAATAAGACAGGTGGTATTGTTACAATAGATCCTGGTGTTCGAGATGGGTGGCATTGTTACAATAGATCATGGTGCTCGAAATAGGTGGCATTTTAACAGTAAATCCTGGTGCTCGAGATGGGTGGCATTGTTACAATAGATCCTGGTGCTCGAGATGGGTGGCATTGTTACAATAGATCCTGGTGCTCGAGATGGGTGGCATTGTTACAATAGATCCTGGTGCTTGAGATGGGTGGCATTTTAACAATAGATCCTGGTGCTCGAGATGGGTGGCATTGTTACAATAGATCCTGGTGCTCGAGATGGGTGGCATTGTTACAATAGATCCTGGTGCTCGAGATAGGTGGCATTTTAACAATAGATCCTGGTGCTCGAGATGGGTGACATTGTTACAATAGATCCTGGTGCTCGAGATGGGTGGCATTGTTACAATAGATCGTGGTGCTAGAGATAGGTGGCATTTTAACAATAGATCCTGGTGCTCGAGATGGGTGACATTGTTACAATAGATCCTGGTGCTCGAGATGGGTGGCATTGTTACAATAGGTCCTGGTGCTTAAGATGGGTGGCATTGTTACTATAGATCGTGGTGGCCGAAATAGGTGGCATTTGAACAATAGATCGTGGTGCTCAGATAGGCGGCATTGCTACATTGTACATGTACAGGAGCGAAAAAAATGGTAAAAACGGATCCGTTATTATATAAACCAGTAAATTATTTTAAAAAAAACCTGGCCTATTTAACATTTTATTCCCTTCCTTTGACGTTCTACGTAATTGCTAAGTCATGTTTACAAAATATTATTTGTGTTTGTTTTTTCAGGAAGAGTAATGGAGGCCTACACAAAGATAACAGAAGCTGAATTAAAGAAGGATTGTGCACTAGAAATGGTTGGAGGAGTAGAGACTACAATTCATTTTCACGAAAATAATAAAAATTGATTAAGAGATTATTTGTATTCATTTACCAGATCACCTTTTGGCTATATTTGATTTAGCTTTTGTCATAACTTGACATCTGTTGTACTCTTTTTTTCAAATTTTGCTAATGTCCTCTGTAAAATCATGTGGCTTCAATATCTTGTGTGGTTACTAACTATTATGGATATAAGAAGATGTGGTATGATTTCCAATGAGACAAATATCCACCAGAGTCCAATTGACGTGGAGGTCACTAAACGGACTTCAACAATAAGCACACACCACACCGTATAGACCGCAATAGAAGACCCGAACACAATACACCCTTCAATAATCAATTCAAACGGGAAAAACCAACCGCCTAAATTTGTAACGACAAACACATGTGACAGATGAACCAACAACAAGCAACGCATTGCTTATTTCAACATGAAACAATGTTGTTGCAATATTAGGGTGACGTTGTTTCAATGTTAAGTTTCAACCTATATTCAATCAAAAAACAACGTTGATACAATGTTGAAAATATAATGTTGTTTCAACGTCAGATATTCAACGTTGTGTCAACTTTCAAAACCAACCGTTATTTCAACGTTACAAATCAACGTTGATTCAACGTTGTTTCAACGTTGAAATGCCTGCTGGGTACACTTTTGGCAATATGTGCCTGTAAAATCATGGTTTTAGTTTTATTTATATTTATAGTAAGTTGCCAATTTTCACATAAACTACTAAATTTATTTATACGTACTGTCCTGTAGACCTTCTTTACTCAAAAGTAGATCATCTACAAAAGATAGTGATCCAAGGGTTGAGTCTATTAGTTTTGGATAGCAAAAAATTATTACCATACATTGAATAAACCATTTCTATAGATAACTCTAAATACATTTTCAAAGAAAATGGAATTTATTACAATGTGTAAAAATAAGATATGCTGGATTGGTCCTGGATCCGACTGATTTTAATATTTCATTTACTGTTATCTGTTTTTATCCTTTTTCAATTCCTTGTTATCTGTTTTAAGCTAAATCAATTTGCTGTTTTGCTATTATTGGATCCCCCCTTGCCTCCCCTCATGAATGGGGGGTGTTTTTTAAATCCCAGCTGCACAACTGTACCCAAAATCCAATGTTGAGACCCCCCCGTGAATAGAGTCCCTTTTTACGAATTTCATGGCAGCATAATGTCTTTTCATCTTACCTCCTCTTCATCAGGATTTATGATATGCATAAGCATGGTTGTTTTAAGGAAATGGCGGGAAAAGTCATATTATATAGAATGACAGTTCCGTAATGCTCAAATTTTAGCATTAATTTCATGTGAAATGTATACAGTTTTATAAATAAATGATTAATAATTACTCTTAAGTGTTTTCTATTGACCTAAACCAACTATATCACCGAAAACAACTAAGGCAGAAATCCGGAAAATAGACCGATAATGCAACGGGGATGATTCAAAATTAGAAATACTTCCTATGATTTGTTTACACTGACGACGAGAAGCTGCAAAGGTTTTCATCACATCTTACATCTGGACTTCCCAGTAAATTACGAAATAACTATCTATTTAAGACGAAGATTTAAACTTTTGTTGTCTTCGTCTCGTTAAAATGATTAAAATCACGTGCAACACAATTAGCATACATGATTGTGTCGAGCACCTGCGTTTCACCTGCATACATGTACCACACATTTGATAAATGACAGTATTATTCCGAATTTCTGTTTGTCATTAATTTCAGCTTGTAGATAGACATCTTTAAGAACTCAGACAGAAAAATCTATTAGTCTGATGTTCCTGGATTTTTAACAGTTTGAGCTACCTAAACATAAGTTTAATTTTGTAAATATGTTAATAATTATGGTATCGTTAAAGTTAAGATAGATACCAGTTTATTTTTTGAAATTTATTCCAAATCCAGTTTAGAATAGTACAATGCAATATTGAGGGTGCAGATTAAGATCCTAAATTATCAATGAAACAAAAATCACAAAAGATTCAATTTGCTAGTTTTTACTTTTTCACATAATTTTCATATTGTAAAGAATATTTACAATTTTGAAGTAGGGCACCTTTCAGGAATTTGAAAAACTACAGGACATATGTTTTCATTCTTTGAACAAGTCTTTTATTATTTTGAATAGAAACATTGAAAAATATTGTATAAATATTCATGTTTTGTGCAGGATATACATGTAGGTTTACCTCTACATTGTACATATGTTTTATAAGAAAATAACATTTTTCAGTCCTATTATTTGGTTATCATTCCAAACGAAAGCACTTATTAAGCAAATGAATCAAAATATGACTGACCTGTCTATTTTTAGACATAAAATGTTTGATAACTTTAAAGCTGATTTGTATACCTCAGGCACTAATGAACTTGTCTATATAAGATGTGAGTTTCTAAAAATTAGTGAGAGACACAGGTTACAGGTTTTTTTTTATATTGGTCATACTAGAACAAAGCCAGGGGGTTTCAAATACAAAAGTATCAAGGAAATATTGAAAATGAGAGGATCAAACTATCTTAATTGATCTGAGTTAAGAATATCTGAAATAAAAACCTATACCGGTAGTTCACATTGATAAAGAAGAGAAGCAGTTATTCTGGTTCTTTATTTAAAGAAAGTTCAAAGACTAATTTCTTCTAATATATAAACCAACCATGTTTTCCCAGACTAAAAAAATCAATCAGTTCACCTCCAACAGATTTAAAAGCAGTCTGAGAAAACCATGACCTTGTGTAATGCCATAATTGTCCACAGGATGTATGATTGCATTGTGGGCCTATTGATAACGGGATAGCAATATATTTTAGCTATGTAAACTATTGAAAATAAAATCACATTTGTTCATGTTAACATTTGTTGTTTTTGTAGAAATGACATCTGAATCTGGGTCAGTAGAACATCATCAGGCCACACAAGCTGATGAGGAAGAGGAGGAAGATGAAGAGGAGTCTGTAGATATTTTAGATGGACCCACACAGGGTCTACAGGGAATTAACGTCAACAGATCAGGTACTCATTAAATTTATTTGATGTAACTTTATAGGGTTGGGTCAATTAGACAAGAATTTTATGAAATAATAAAAAACAGTCATACAGATCAAGGAACCACATGATGATATTTACATACACTTACCACCTTTTTAGTAGGACTGATTTTCTCTGTAAGAACTAGATGTGCTGTTTTAGACACTTATGGTCTGTTAATAACTCGAGCATATGAAAACTAAATAAGGATAATTTAATTGTTAATTCTATATGATTTCCTGTTTTTGCTGTGTGGTATGTTCCATGTTAAAATACCTTAAAAAATGAGAGAAAGGGTACCAAGGGGGAATACAAATAAACCATGAAGAACAAAAGCTAATGAGGACACAATACATTTTGTACACAAAAATGTCATATTTGTGAATCATTTTGTCTGCTTTATACAGATACTAGGAATACTTTATTAAACAGTTACTGAGCATATGTATATGCAATATGAATCTTAATCTATGTAATCTATCATATTCTTTTCTATTGAAATTTAAATGATTTAGAGCAACCTGTGGTTAATATTTGACTTTATCATTGGTAGGTCCTATATTTTTGTTAAATTGTTTGAAAAAATATGGCATTCTTATGATATTAATCTCCAACAAATAATAGTTTGCCTTAGTTGAGGGGCCTGATGGGTTATTTTCGTTCTTTGTGATAGGCGCATTTTCGCTATCGTGATCCGTTTTTCTGCAGATTTTTTTTTTTATATTTTCCTGATCCGTGATCATGGAAATTTATTTTCTGTGAATCGTGATTGACAAAAAAATCAACTCGTGAATTGTGATGAGACCCCCCCCCCCCCCCTACATCAGGCCTCTCTTAGTTAACTGATTATCAAAATATTATTTGAAATTGATAATTCTGATAAAAATTAATGTTTTTTTATATTTCAATAAATTATATTATTTGATATCATTTTAAAGGGAATATGTTTATGAAATTTTGTCTTTAAAAAAATCATGAATTGAAAACTCTCTTCTTAGCCTACAGACACCAAGGTATCATTTTAAAACTAACAACTGTATAAAATTAGGTGCTCATACTTACAAAGTATATTAATCTTACTAAGCTAATTATTTTATGAGTCTATTATAATTATTATGTTTCTTGGATGGTACTTTTTTCCTGCTGTTCCAGATGGACAGCTTTTATTTTTCATTTTTAAAGTTATTTGCTGTTTATTCTGAATTATTACCAAACATGAAGATAAAAGACTGTTCAAAATGAAATGTCATGTATCTGAAAAAAAAAGTGTCTCATTTTTGACTAGTATGACAGATTTCAGTCTCAGATTTTCAAAATTGAAGTTCTGGAGTGCATTTTGAAAAAAAAACATCAGTGAGGGTGAGAAGTTGGATAAAATTTACAAATATATTTTTTAACTTTTTAACAGAACTTATTGATATACAAAATAGAAAACAAATGATAGTTAGGAGAGATCATGTGTTACTATACAGTGTTTTCCATTCGGCATTTAAGCCGGGTGTGCCAACCACCTTCTTTTGAAAGCCGACCACCTTTCCATTTTAGGAGGTGGTCAGCTTTTTTTCAAATTCAGGATTTTTTTTTGGTTCCGCACCATAAAAATTTAAATACTAATTGCGCCTCACTGATAGTTTTCATTGACAAAAATGGCGGATCATCAAATTTCAATGTTTTCTTTTATTAATCGGGGGAAGAGACAGGCAGATGACGATGGTGATAAGGAAAATTTTAGGCCAAATAAGTCAACTAAAATGGATAGTTGTATTGAAATTGATGAAATGGAATAAAAAGTATCAAAACAACGGAAAAGGCACTGAAGAGATCACGAAGATAAACAGGTTGGGAAAAGTTTACGGGAACCTGTATGATATTACATAATGGCGGACAAATTTGCATACAAGTGTAAATACATCTATCCCCCAAATGAGTGATATTCCTTAAACGAGGGACTGTCTCTCTGGCAAGAGGTTATGTTAATTCTGTTGAAGAAAAGAAAAGAGAAAAACTTAGATTTTTTAACTCAAAAGGGGGAAAATCGTTATATTCAGACCAACTTTTCTAAAAGAAGGTCCCATTATTTTTAATGATAAAGAAGATATAAGTCCAGGAATATTACAAAATTTGTGGACATGTTTTGACCATATAGTACCAAAAAGATGTATAGTTCTTTGGGAAAATTTTCTGTAAATAAAATAAATATGTGCTCATTTGTATCGCGTTAAATGTACCCCTCATAAAAGAGATAGTCATTACATTGAGAGGTTACCCCTCATTTGATAAATATGAACAGGACTTTAAATGGCTAATCGTCACAGAAGGAGGATATTACTGCTTTGTGTTCCAAAAATACAGCACTAAAGCGAGGAACAGGACAGAAACTTGGATTGATAAGCTATGCATATGCAGGAGGAGGGAGTCCTACAAAAGCCATATCCGAGATCCGCAAAACTAATTTGTCAAATGAATGGCTAGCAGTGATAGCAGAAGAACAGTTCAATTTTATTAAATGTGTATACAATACTTATCCTTCTTTTAGTGACCCCCTCCAACAGTAAAAAACCCGGTTGGAAATGTTAAAACAAAAAAAAAACACCCGGTTGCAAGTAATTTTTTCACAACCCCCACCTTACCTTAGTGAAAAATGGAGAACACTGCTATAAATGATTTGAAATCTTGTTTGAGAAAAATTATCTACATTTTTGTTCTTTTGATTATCTTTAAAAAATATTCTTTTGTGTCCAAATATTTATTACAGAATCTATTAAAAATTCATGAATGATTTAACATAGGGGAAATAACTCTAATATTATCTAAGTTAATAATATTAGAGTTATTTCCCATAAGTAAAATTATATAGGAATTTAATATTGATCCAAACAATCCAGTATTTAATAAACCATGGAAATAGAATTAAATATAATACTTCCATGATTAAACTGAACTCATTTATCTTTACAACATGCAGCTGCAGCCATTGTACTAGGAGGTAACTTTTTTTTATTTAGCTTAGTGGACACTGAGATAAGAATATTCTTATTTTGATAATGGTTAGAGCAATCATTTGTTCAAAGATTGTCATGCACATTGATAAAGTTCACAGAAAAAACATGTAACAGTAAACAAACTTTGTTTTAAAGTGTTTATTCTTAAAATCAATGAAAGAATTAAAAAAAAAATAATATTGAGATCAAAATATTGATCCTTTTCAAAGGACTTCAACATGACCATATTTTATTATAGATGGAAAATTTGGTTTTTATTATTGTTCTTCTAAAGTCATAATGTTGTACATGTTTTGTCATAATACAATTTTGTATTTGACATATGATAAGAAATGTTATGATTTATGGTTTAAGATTTGATTTCACTTAATTTTATGGGCAAACATCCAGTGGTTAAACAGCACAAGAGTAAGTTTCTTCCATGAAAGGCATCTTTAGATATCCATAGCAACCAATAGGAAAGTGGAGATAATTTGCTTACTGAAAAAAGTTTTATGTCAATGGATATATATCTATATTGCTTTACACAAATATTGTTCTGTTTAAATTTTGTGCAGTCAAGGACAGTTACTATTCTGTCTAAATGGCTGAAAAATATAAAATTTTAGTGAGGTATACAATATGTGTAAATAAAAAAATTATAAAGAAGTTTGAAAGTGAATAGTACTATTGGTTTGCTGTAAAAGTGGATTAACTGAAGAAGCTTATAGGTGTCAAGACTGAGCTGTTGTATAAAAGAGGTCAAATCCATACAATAGGATTAATTAGCATGTGCAGTCAGTATATGTTTGACCATTATTGTTTGCACTTAGGTTCTGTCTAGATTTTGTAAAATAAGAGACTGCAAAAATATCATATAAACCATTTATAGAGAACTCTGAATCAGATGTTTAAAAATATAAATATCTCCAAATTTTCAGAAAGGCAGCATGATTAGAGATTTATAGATTTGGAGAAAACACACATTTATGATATACATAAAAAACATAGTGTCAAATGCTGAGCTAAAAGTAAATGAAAAGGAATTTGTTTGGGATTGATGTTGTCTTTTACAACACAGCTCAGTGTTAAAAGGATAGATATTATTAAGTTGAAGGTATATGTTTAACTAATACAAATGTATTGTTCGATATATATGGATTCAGGAAATGCTTTTATCTAAAATTATAGTTGCAGGAAATAAAATAACACACTAAGAGAAACCAAGCAATGGAATGTTAGACTGGCTTTATTAGTAAATAGTATTTCAAATGTTTCATTCATGTTTGAAAAAGAAAAATCCCTTCTTCTACATGCATTTAAGTTTTAGGCCTGTGCAAATTGTCACAAATAATCATATGATAACGATATTCCACCATTTGGATTTTTTTCAGTGAAATTTTTTAGAAAAATAATTTTTATTATCTTTTTAGGGAAATTACTATCATAGTATTAGTAGTTGATAATACTCATATTTTCTGAATTTTGCTTCTTATGATAATAAAAATCCGGCCAAGAAAGTTATATAAATACCACTTTAATACAGAACACAGATAGCCTATTGTAGCTATGTCATATGGAAAAAAAGATACTAAACAGATAATTGTAAAGTTACAGTGGATTAATAATTTTATCATTTTAGCAATACGATGTTGTAATTATTCTCTAAAAGCCTTTTTATACCCCCATGGAACAAAGTTTTTGACCCGTCAGTCTGTCCATCAGTCCTGTTCTTGTCATCTCAACTCCTCTGAAACCATACAACAGAATTTCCTGAAACTTTGTAGATAGTAAGGACATACTATGTAGATGCGCATATCGACAGGAAATTATGATTCTATTTTTTTTTCTAGAAGTTATGCCCCTTTGAGCTTAAAATTTTTGCCTAAATATACTACTGCAACAGTTGGTCATCGCAACTCCTCTGAAACCACACAACAGAATCCCTGAAACTTTGTAGATAATAAGAACATACTATGTAGATGTGCATATCCACAAAAAATTATTATCACTTGACTTTTCTAGGAGTTATGCCCATTTGAACTTAGAATTTTGTCCTCAATATACTTCTGCAACAGTTTGTCATAGCAACTCCTCTGAAACCACACAACAGAATTTCCTGAAACTTTGTAGATAATAAGGACATTCTATGTAGATGTGCAAATTGACAGGAAATTATGATTCTAGTTTTTTCTAGGAGTTATGCCCCTTTGAACTCAGAATTTTTTTCCTAAATATACAACTGCAACAGTTTGTCTTCGCAACTCCTCTGAAACCACACAACAGAATCCCTGAAACTTTGTAGATAATAAGAACATAATATGTAGATGTGCATATCCACAAAAAATTATTATCAGTTGACTTTTCTAGGAGTTATACCCCTTTGAACTTAAAATTTTGGCTTAAATATACTACTACAACAGTTTGTCATCGCAACTCCTCTGAAACCACACAACAGAATTTCCTGAATCTTTGTAGATAATAAGGACATTATATGTAGATGTGCTTATCCACAAGAAATTATTATCAGTTGACTTTTGGAGGAGCTATGAGTCTTTGAACTTAGGAATCTGGTGAGATTTTTTTTGCCCACTGACAATATGGAGGAGTGGGGTATGTGAGCGTGCTCACAAAGGTTCTTTAATTGTTAATGATTTATTCAATAATACAGGTTCATTTCATTACTGTGTTGCTAAATGTTAACTATGGAAAATATCATGGCTACACCTGAAAAATTAGTTTGGAGTGTCCATACTTTTTTTAATTCACCAATTAAAAAGGTGGAGCTTAATTATTTGAGTACATTTTTTGTACTTCCTCCTCCATGTGATCCTTAAGCTAAAGGGAGGTAACTTGATCTACAGTAGATTTCTGACTAATGTTGGTGTCAGTATAAAGTATGATAATTTACTAAATGACATTTTATAAACATATGTAGTATGCATTAAACTAAATAACTGCATGTGTTGCATGTTAGTATGTCATTGTGAACCTATGTTGTACTTAGATCAATTAAACATAACCAGCTACAAATATGCATGTATAGTTGGAAGTTTTTTAATATGTACTTAACTGAGTCTGAAGATTAAAACTTTAATAACATAAATATTTCTGTATCAAAGAAACAACAAGTTTGCTTATGAGGTATCTTTGATGGTTACATTTATTTATTTTTAAAATTTTTGATTTGAAATTTTCACTGATTGAATAGTATTACTGAATATTTCAAATACATTGTTGTTGTTGTTGTTTTTTTAATTTCTAAAGCAACATTTAATTTTCCTTTGCATATTTGCATATTTTAATTTCATGTCTGATGCATTTCATGTTGTGTTAATAAAATACTTTTTTTTTTTAAACATTCTTTGCTCAAATGAAACAGTTTACATGTGCTTTTCAAAAATATATATTAGGAAATATTGGATTATCTCCCTTAATTTGATAAGGTCAAGAACCAAAAAAAAACTGCATCTGAAGGATTTTCAATAGAATAAAGTTTGTAGAAAATTTGCAAGCTATCGCTTTCTGCATTTTACTTGGAGATAATTCAATAAATTCAGTGTTTGTTCTATAAAATGCTGAATTGAAATATCACTGGATACATTCATTTATCAAGGAATATATTTTACAATCCTTAATGAAATGGTAATATTTTTTTCAAAAGGTAAATTTTGTTATATTTGTATTTAAGATTGATCTTAACTTTGTTAAAGTTGTTTCTTTTTTAAATTTGTTTAGAATTTCTTTCAAGAATAAAATCTATCTGTACAAATGCAACTAGAATTAATTCCATTAAAATTGAAATTATAACAATGTATTAGTCATAAGATTTATATTATTTATCATGACAGATACACCCCAGACAAATCTGCCAGATGCTGAGACAAGTCCTGATATTACAATTTTATGTGAGAAATGTCAGGACTATGTCCACCTCCTACATCTACAAGAACACAGGAAGTACCATAAAGCCCTAGCAACCATGAAATATGGAAAAAAGTTGCCTAGGCCACAAAATATTGAAATGTTGCTGAAAAGAAGAAATGTAATATTGAGAAAAATGAAGCAGACTGCTGCTAGTTTAGGAAACCACATTGAACCTCGAGAAATTCAGAAGATAAATGAAGCTTATGAATATTTAAAAACAGACATTGATGGAACTTTAGCACAGTTACAGCAGATGAGAGAGGATCTGGATGTACATGTGAATGGTTCATCCTTGAACTGTAGTCCAGATTGTGTGTACGCTGTTGGCTTTTGCTCCCATGGAAATAATCGCTGGAAGAACCAGATGGAGGATACAAAAGTCTATCAAGATTCATTTGGTGAAGATAATGATAAATGTTTTATGGCCGTCTACGATGGATATCATGGAAGATTTGCATCAGATGTTGCTGCTTCTGAACTTCATCACATGCTTTTAAATGAAATGAAGAAATTTGACCCCAAAACTACTTCAACAAAGGCAACAAATATGGCAGACAATATGGAGGACATATCTAACTACAAGTTTGATAGACCAACCACAAAAGAAAGTGAGAGGGAAGTACTTTACGAGGGAAGTATGAACATTGTTGATCAAATTATCAAGCTTTGTGAGTCAAAATATGATGATATGATGACCCCAAGGTCTGGGCGTTCATCTAAAGCTTTAGAATCTGAGAGGAGCAAAGAGCAGCTAATACCAATTGAAGAAGAAAAGTCTGATTATGAGAAGTCACTTAGAGAGGAGAAAACGCCAAGGAACAAAAAACAAGCTAAACCACCAATGTCTATTAAAATGGAAGAAGCTTTTAAAAAATCCTACCAACTTTTAGATATTTTGCTGTCATATGGAAAGGATGAGTGTTCAAGGGTGAGATGGAGTGGGTGCTCTGCTACTACCTTGATATTGCATGGTATGGACCCAAATAAAGTAGATAGAGATTGGGTTATTTCCCCTGTCAAAGAAGAAGATGGTGAAAACCAGGAAGAAGGTGACACAACACGTAAACCTTCAGGATTTGAGGAACCAAGGACACTTGGTCTTTTACATTTAGCTAATGCAGGTTTGTGGTTAACATTCAGTTTAACCTGAAAAGAAAAACTTTTTTTATGTTACATGTGCATGCAGTTTACCTTTCAAATGTTGAAAGTATTTACTTTTTTCACTTTTTTCAAACTTAACTGCCAAATTTTATGCCTGCAAAAATTTTGTGCTGTATTTTATAGTGTGCATGAGCATGTTTAAGAATGACCTTCATCAGGTATATGGCTCAAAACCAAAAATTTTGGGAAGCGAAGTACATAAAACAATTATTATCATCAAAATAAAAACAGGTCTAAACCAAAACATTGTCAAAGTCTAGTAATATGATTTTGTAGATTAACAAATGTGACAAAAATTAATAAAAATCATTTTGTATGTTCACTATTTTTCAGGGAATGTCCATTGTGTTTTAGTGAGAGGGAATCAGCCTTACAGGATAACAAGAGAGCATACACCAAATAATGAAAAGGAATTAAAAAGAGTCCTCAAAGCAGGTTTGTGTTGTATAACAGTCTTACCTTTCACGTACTGTAAATTCAGAAATTATTGCGAGGTTTTTATTATTGCGAATAATGCGACTGGGAGAGTATCGCAATAATAAAAACTCGCATTCTTATATCTTGTACATATAACAGTATGCAGATTTTTCTGAAATCGCAATAATTTATCTCGCATTTTTGTCCATTTTTCAAAAATGTGAATGTCATTATATTTGTAGTACATGTATCATAATTTACAGGTGGAGATATTAGTGAAAGTAAAAAAGAAAAGAGAGTAAATGGGGTTTTAAGTACCACAAGAGGACTTGGTAACCATGGTGATGTGAAGTTAAAGAAATGTGTTCTAGTAGAGCCATACACCACATCAGTACCAATAGACCAGTATGCACAGTTTCTTATTTTAGCTTCACACGGAGTCTGGGAAGTGTTCACCCCACAAGAGGCTACATCTCTTTTACTGAAGGTAAAATGAAATCATTAACTATAATCATGTAATTAAATGTTTATTGCATAATGTTAATAAAACAATATGAAGTGTCTGAGCTCAGTAAATTCATGGCACTTGCAGTGAAGCTCTGTGGAAAGTAAATTGAATGTAATAGTCACTTAATAATAATATGTCTACATAATGTTCCATAATGTACATAATCAGTTTTGACATGATGGGGAAAATATGAAAAAAGAAAAACATGAAGAATTTTTCTTAAATGCTAAATTTCCAAGTGGACATTAAGGGACAGCAATATACTTATTTTTTCTTGGATGTGTCAAAATACAACTACAACTTTCTTAAATAAAGTGAAAAAATACATTCATTCCTTTCGTTGAAATTTAAATTTTGAAATATAGAAATGCTTTTTTCATTTGTATCTGCATTTGAATTGTTGGTAAAAAACACTCTTGCATTATTTGCATGAAGGACACATAATTCTCATATAAATATTTTCATCTTGTCTTTTTCAGTTATTGCCTAGCAACTTTGTTCCAGTACCAAGTAAAATTAGTACTACTCTCCAACCTTTAATGGAAGACATGAATAGTCAACATATTACTACATCACATTCAAATTTCTCACCATCTGTTGCTAAGCTACATCACCAAGATAACACAATAGCTGAAAAAGAGGAGGAAAGGGAGTTATCACCACTCATTGATGAACGTCTTAGAAAAATTGAAAATAAGAGTCCAAACACTGAAGCAGACCTGAAAACTGAAATTGGAAGTCACATGGGTGACTCAGATGGAGAATCTGGAAATGAGGCTGATGTAGAAACCTATGGAGACTATTTATCGATCCCTGCATTCTCTAGAATGTCAATTATAAATCCTAATCATACCAGGGACACATATCATCGTGAGTTTGCCAAAGTTATGGCCGAACATTTAGTACAGGCTGCCTTGCAAGCAGGAGCTAAGGATAACATAACAGTTACTATTGCCTTGTTACCTGGATGTGGTTTATAATCTACAATAAACAAAAGTTAAACTTCATGTTTATTATTCTAGAAAGTTCTTGTTGCTGTGAAAAGGAAAATAAAGTGAAACTTTATCTGTAAACTCATCATAGATACCAGGCTTAAAATTTTGTACGCCAGATGTGCATTTTGACTACAAAAGAATTACTGTGACTTGACTATAGGTGTTGCTCTCCATCTATTGCAGTTTTTATCAAACCAAACTGTTCAACTAGACAGAAATTTTGACAAATTGCTGTAGAAAACACAGTCAAGTGGTGAAAGTGCAAGGTGTTTTAATAAAGCATACTTACATTCCTATAAGCCTTTAATTTCACTTCATTGATATTATGATAAATCAGTAACAATTTCTATACAAATTTTATTTTAATTGTCATGCTAAAGGTAATAGATAGTAATTTTTTAATTGCTATAAAAATTTCCAAACAAAGCTTTCATACAATTTTTCTTTCGAAAAGTCTTCTCTATCCATAAGAATCTGACATCTTTTGAATTAAAACATCTTATATTCAGTAAAATATATGTGAAATTACAATACATTGTTAATAAGTTTCCATGGGAGATAATCTAAAAAGCATTGATCTTTTGACATATCAATTTTATCTCCCTTTAAAACTTCAAGAGCATATATTTAAGCTTCAAGTATATTTCACCAAGTATTTTAGAGATTAATTCAAAGAAAGCTTTGTAGCATGCATAGAAAAACTTCATTTTATTAGAAATAATCCAAAAACTTAAATTAAGACATTTTTTTATCAATTCAAAAACCTTTTGCATGACAATTACAATAAAATTTGTTTAGAAATTGTAGACCGTTTTTTCATAATATCAAGGAAGTGGAAATAAAGTCTTATAGAATTGTAAATATGCTTTATTTTATCACCTTGCACTTTCACCACTTAACTGTGTTTTTCTAAAGCAGTTTGTTAAAATTTTTGACCCGTTGAACAGTTTGGTTTGATGAATTTTAAAATTGCAATTTGGTAAGAATTTTGCAATAGGTGGAGAGCAACGCTTACAGTCAAGTTACAGTAAAAGGCTAATCAGCATTGAAATTTTTTTTTTTGAAACTTAATTATATTGCCTCATTTTAGCAAAAGAGTGAAAGTTGTATCACTATCACCATTGACAGCTGACCTGGTTTGGATGTCAGAAAAGTCACAAAGACAAATTAACTGAGTATCTTATATAAACTTTAAAAAAAAAAAAAAAAATTTATATGTCTTGTTTTAAATTTCCGTACAAAATAATAGATATAATTTAGTAATAATTAGACCCAAAACTGGGACTAAACTTTGACTGAACTTTTATATATACACATTTACCCCTCCAAAGGAGTATAGTTTTTGTCACATGATTTTCTCAGATATGTGTTATATAAAACCATTGCCAGATCTACATATTAAAATAAGAAGATGTGGTATGATTGCCAATGAGACAACTCTCCACAAGAGACCAAATGACACAGAAATTAACAACTATAGGTCACCGTATGACCTTCAACAATGAGTAAAACCCAATCCGCATAGTCAGCTATAAAAAGCCCTGAAATGACTAAAGTAAAACTAGTCAATCGAGAAAACTAACTGCCTGATTTATGTACAAAATAATGAATGAAAAACAAATATGATATACAGCAACAAACGACAACCACTGAATTACAGGCTCCTGACTTGGGACAGGCGCATACAGAAAGTTGCAGGGTTAAACATGTTAGTGGGCTCCCAACCCTCCCCCTAACCTGGGACAGTGATGTAACAGTCCAACATATGAACAAACTATAAAAATCAGTTGAAAAGGGCTTAACTCATTAGATCGATACAAAGCACAAAACATGTAACAAAAACACAGAGTGGATGTGGTAGGGTACTTATACATCCCTAACAACAAAAAGGACACTAAGTACAGATCTGAGTGTACTCAGTTACTGACAGCTAGTTCAACGCCAATAACCACAACTAATAAAAAAAAATTATGCATCTAAGACATCTTGACATGTCCACCAAGTAGTGTTTACCTGCATGACCTTAACCTCACTATGGATCAGTGATCAAGCCTTAGTTTTTGTGGTCAAGTCTATATCTTAAATACTTTAATCAATAGGTCAACTATATCTGGTGAATGTATCGATTGTAAGGTATTCATGTCGGTCTGGCAGGGTTCATTTGACCTTGATCTCACTTTCATGGTTCATTGCTCATAATTGAGTTTCAATGGTAAGTATAAAAAAAGGGGATGTGGTATGAATGCCAATGAAACAACTATTGACCACAGTCAAAATGACATGGATGTAAGCAACTATATGTTACCATACAGACTTCAACAGTTAGCAAAACCCTTACCATACAGTCAGCTATGAAGGTCCGAACATAACAATAGGTGAAACAATTCAAACCAGAAAAACAACAGTCTGACTTATGACAAAACAATCAAGAAAAATAAATATGACTGACACCAACAAATTACAACCACTGAATTACAGGCTCCTGATTTGGGATAGGCACATACAGAATGTGACAGGGTTATACATACTTGAGAGAATCCATAATATGGACAGCAAAACATAAGAACTATAAAAATCCATTGAAAAAGGCTTGACTAATCAAATTCACACTAATAAAAAAATAAAAAAACATACTTACAGAAAGACAAAAAACACAAAGTATCAATCTTAGAGTACTCCCAATAACTGAAAGTTAGTTCCAGGCCAACAACTAGTAAATAAATCATGATCACCTAGACTAAAGTATCAATCAGTTCACATCCAATGGGTTTAGTGTAAATATGTCATAAACAGTTTGAGAAAAGCTTTTGCAATGCCTAAATATAAGTTAAGTCAAATTCTAAGATAATATTATCAAAAAGTCAACTATATTTGGTGTATGGATTAATTGTAAAGTGTACATGTCAGTTTGGCAGGATGCATCTGACCTTACCCTCATTTTTGTGGATCTTTGATAATGTTAATTGTATGTGATACCTGTTTTAGAACCTTTATCTTTTAAGACTTTCAACATATTATTCTATAATGATTAGAAAGACACCAAAACATTTCAGTGTGTTCAATCCGGTTTTTAGTTTTAATATTGGTATGTATTAAGTGTATGCTTATTTACTTTCTGCTGTCATATTGTTTAGTATATGTATTTCCTTTCACTCAAAACAGAGTAGCTCACATTTCATCTTGCTTTAGGGTACCCTAAGGTAATTGTAGGAAAAATTGGCAATTGGAATTTTAGAAGATTAATGATTTGTCATTTGGAACATTTCCAATTTGTTAATTATGCATAATGGCAAGAAAAGATTTCTCTAATTCTATTTTGTATCTATTTGCATGCAGCAAACCAAGAACCTCTGAGGCTTACAATGAAAACATCATCAACAAACATTTACTGACATCTGTAAAAATTTCTGACAAAACTATCTTGATCAGTGAAGGTTACTAGGCATATCCTGGTATTTTGTTAATTACCGTAAACAATGGTTAACATAAAACATTTTAAAAGTAAATATAAGACGGCGTTCTGAAGGCAAATATGTCGTTCATATTCAGGATGATGACATATTAATGAGACACAATTGAGAATCTTTCTTTTGTTGTAAGTGCTGACTTATAAGTTTAACATAACATTCTGACCAATAGCATGCTACCATATGATACCATTGAGACTGGGTTATATTTTACATGATGAAGCTTAGAAGTTATTAATTGTTGGCTGTCCAACTGAAACAGTGAAATATTATTTTATGTAGGTTTTTAAATAAGATAAACAACTGTATACCCTTTTGAAACTTTGCTTTCTGTTATTTTAGGTTAAATTTATGGTAGATCTGTGTACCTGTAAATCAAATGCCTTTAAAGATGATGACAATGTCAAAGCTTTTTATTAAGGAAGTACTTGACATTGTCAGTATCTATTTTCATGGTTTGTGAAAACATCCTCAACAGGAATAAAAGCCCTGTTCATTGATAATTTTCTATGTTTTCTATGTATTGTGTGCGATTTTGTCCCATGTACATTTACTCCATATCCTTTCATTTTCTATTGAGTTGACCTTAGATGGATTTGGCTATTACTTTTATATCTAATTTGGTCATATAGCTCTTCAACTGTTACAGTTCTTCTACTTCTACTTCCTTTGCTTTCAAATATTTGACTGAGCGTTCTGATGAATGTAAATCTAGAAAAGCGCTTTGGACACATGAAATTTATAAAGGGTTGTTTTCATGTTTTGACTCAATGGAAAATCATAGGATAAAATTGAGAATGGAAATGGGGAAAATGTCAAAGAGACAACAACCCGACCAAAGAGCAGATAACAACCGAAGGCCACCAATGGGTCTTCAACGCAGCGAGAAAATCCTGCACCCGGAGGTGGTCCTTAGCTGGCCCCTAAATAAAACCAAGAAATTCACTAAAGTTGGTACCTCAAGAACAATAATAAATTCACAGTATGAAATATGCTTTCTTAAAATCAATGCATTTTGCTAGAGAAAAAAGAAGATGAATTTTATACTTCTTTAATAGTTGTCATACCTTACATACATCAACAAACTTCACAATCAACAAGGAAATAAACAATAACAAATGTTATCATTAATGAAAATATACATGTAGAATTTACAAAAATGCATGTAGAGGTTGCATTTTCCATAAAGCTTGGTTTATAAGTATTAATATACCTAGTCAAAATATAGCTTAAAATCTAAGCAGCACTTTTTGGGACTGCAAAAAGGATGACATTAGTATACAGTTCCAAGTGAACTTCCAAAATATGTTATGGAATTTTATCATCTATACTGCCATAAAACTTTCAAACTGATTTTTTTTTTTGGAATAGATTCTTGAGTAAAAGCTTCACTTTAATTTTATTTATTGAAATCAGATTTTGAAGGGTGACTGAAAATGTTTAAGAGATGTACTTAAAACTTTACACTGATAAAATAAGCTATTTTAAAAATGAATGACATAAAAATGTATGAAAAATATCTAAAAGTCTAACAAAAAATATTTATAAGAATAAACAAAAATATCCTGAAAAGTATCCTACTCTATATTGAGGATTAAAACAGAAAATACTTATAAAGGTCATTAAAGTAGACTACACTATGGTAAAACTGAAAAATATAGTCTCTACATCTCATTGAAATAATTGTTTTATTTGGGAGTAAGGGTTTCTAAAACACAAATAAATAATGAAAAATATAAATCATACAACTTTAATATTTTAAATTCTACTCATATCAATTTGAAAATTCTCTTATTATTTTTAGCACATCTCAATGCTTATTGGTACTTTTATATACAATAAAATACAAACAATGGTATACGAGTTTGACATTATTCTCCATGGACTTTTCTCATGTATATGAAGAAAATCTAAAGCTCTGACAACTCTGTCATCTAATTAAAATAATCTCACTGAAAACTTGATATTCACAATCTTTGCTTCAATAAATGTGTTAGGAATGCTGAAATTCTGTAAAATGGGTATCAAAATATATAGGTTAAATTTATATGAAAGTGCTTAATTATTTGATCTAAAGCTACATTATTTTTCAACAAAAAGTCATTAAAAAGTTTACTTTAAAATGTTTATGTCCGACTAATACAACTGTTCCATTGTTGACTAAATATCAACCATAATTTACCAAAAAAGATTATATACTGTATCATAAAATGCAAATATTAATATTTCTGGGTTAAATTATTTTGGCACTTAATGTATAAACATTTTCCCAGTAATTTACTTAAAATAACTGCATCAATGCTGAGTGAGATAAAAAAAACAAAACCACATTTATGGATATATCATATTTTCTGAGTAACTATTTTTCAACCTCTACCTAGAAAAAAGCAATGCCCCAGGGGCTCATATTCAGTAAATTTCGTTTGATATAAAAATAATTGGCTAATACTATGTGGTGTCAATGCTGAGATTAAATGCGGTGTTGAGCAATTAATATATTTTGTTCAAAGTGACCATACATTGTTTGATACTGCTCAAGTGTAATGCTAATGTGTTCTACATTTATATATATATATATATATATATGTTGGTGAATGTTATATATTAATACTCAGTGTTTGTGGTCTCATAAAAATTGGTAAAAAATACTAACAGGTGAAATCTTCACAATTACAAAAATACATCAAAAACAGTGATTTTGATATTTCTGTATTACTATGGTGCTATGCTGTTAAACTTAAAAAAGTATGAAAACGTAGAAAAGATTACGATTTCTAATTCACATTTGAATTATTGGACAACTATGAAATTAATGCAAAAATTATGCAATCTCAATAAAAGACTCATAAACTCATAATTATACTGGGATCTCATTAACAAGCATGTCATTGTCTTAAAAATCAAAATGTGTAAATTTCATGATGATCATAAACAAATACTAAATGTAACAAGAATTTTTACAAACTTTTGAAATCAAAATTTGTGAGGCATAAGGCTTTACATGCAGACTTGGGCCTGTATTAGTCATTTTGATATTCATCAAGAAGATTTACAGTAGTAACAAGATATAAAATATATGGGATATTTCTATAATACTTATTGGTGTAATGCTGTGTGAATGCTGGATAATAATCAACAATTATTTGCATGTTTCTTTTAAAGCTTTGATTGATATAAACTTTGAACTTAAAAATTCTGCATAGATTTAAAAAATATATAAACTTAAGGTATTTCACAATAATACAGCACCTTGCAAACTATTAATATCCTAGCATAAATCTTCAATTGACCCTTTTCTTTTCTGAAAACATACCAGTAATAATAATTTAAGTTGCTCACAAGTCCATTAATGTGTACAGTATTATGTTGTAAGGTAGCATTTTGTACTTCAGGTAGAAATCATACAAATTAATCAATGCGGAGGATAAAAATAGTTTTGCCTTCCATCAATTCTTTTTGTTACAATTAATGTATGAAAATGATGTCAAATTATGATATATATAAATGAAAAGAAGAAAACATTCCAAACCTTCACATTTGAGGAACAAATAAATGTACATCTACGACATCTACACATGCATGTAGGGCAGTTTTTCATACAATTTAAAAAAGTCATATATAGTCATAGTGAAAAATGAAATATTTTTACATCAAACTGACCAATCTTTATTATGAGTGTTTAAGCTTATTTACTCCTATTGCCAAAACTCAATAGAAATCTCAAGGGTTATGGTATTATTCTGAAAAAAAAGTTTGGTTTCAGATTAACATGTTTCTTATCAAATGGTAAAAATCTTCCTTATAAACAATTTTTAAGTCTTTGTTTTAACAAAAATTATACAGCCATTGGATGTTGTCCAGTCATGACTTGATGAGCTTGGATATCATCAATGACTCCTCTTATGGATTCTACACTGACATGACCTTTTGGATTCTGTTTAGCAGCCATATTATAAACCTGGTCAAACATTTCTCCTGTCATCTGCACACCAATATTGTGGAAAATTGCTTTAAGCTGAAAAATATAAGAAACTGTTATTTACAAACTTTCTGTATGTTGTTATTTACACACTCTCGGTATGTTGTTATTTACACACTCTCTGTATGTTGTTATTTACACACTCTCTGTATGTTGTTATTTACACACTTTCTGTATGTTGTTATTTACACACTTTCTGTATGTTGTTATTTACACACTTTCTGTATGTTTTTATATACACACTTTCCGTATGTTGTTATTTACACACTCTCTGTATGTTGTTATTTACACACTTTCTGTATGTTGTTATTTACACACTTTCTGTATGTTGTTATATACACACTTTCCGTATGTTGTTATTTACACACTTTCCTTATGTTGTTATTTACAAACTTTCTGTATGTTGTTATTTACACACAATTCTGTATGTTGTTATATACACACTTTCCGTATGTTGTTATTTATACACTTTCTGTATGTTGTTATTTACAAATTTTCTGTATGTTTGAAAAAAAATTTTCTTCCATATTTTTGATTGGGAAGTACAATTAATATCTACAGACAGGTGAGTATCATTGAACAAAGTATGCTATTGGAATATGTTTCTGGAAAAGATTTTAAACATTTGTTGTAAAACTTGAAAATATATGTTTTCAATAATCTGCAAAACATTGTGATCTTTATATTAGTAAATGTGACTTATTACATTGGTTGCAATGAATTACATTGATTTCCCAGTGAAATAAAAACCGATAATTTCACATGTGAAATAAACGTGGTTATTTCACTCCTCTGACGTCATACAACAATAGGCGTTGTCAAGACGTTGATAACGTCGGATCAAAACAAATTGTGAATGCGTAGAAAAAGATATAGTTCCTTACGTTTTCTACTTTAATTTCATAAAAAAAGCCATTTGCCAATGTAATAAAAAGAATAACTAATCAAAGAATTCAAATATCGAAAAATATTCAACTCGTGACCGAACAACCCTGATAATTAACTCATGCGCTACGCGCATTTGGGAATTAATGTGTTGTTCTCTATTTGAATTCTTCGATTAGTTATTCTATAAATAATACTAGCATACTTAGAAGAAGCCATGAAAATTGAACATCATAACTGAATTCTGACCAATGAAGAAATGGACCTAGTAAAATACACGTTAAATATATAATCAACCGATTGGCAATAGTTTTAGTCATCAGAAACAACTGCATATTAATCATTGTCAAATGGGCATCATATGTCAAATATATATTATCCTTGTTGTTTTTGTTTGGATTTTTTGTATCAACTTTGTGAAATCAGAATGGGTATATCATCTTTTATTTATTTAAATTTCACATCGAAAAGATCAATGAAACACAAAACTTTAAAAAAAAAAAAAAAAAAAAAAACCCTTCCTTAGTCCTAATTCAAATCTCTCATTTCCTGAAATATTTTTTTTATGCCCCACCGTAGCGGTGGGGGCATTAAGTTTTATCCTTGTCCGTCTGTACATACGTTCGTCCGTACGTCCCAAAATTGGTTTCTGTTCTCTAACTTGAGTTTGCCTCAACCAAATGTTATGAAACTTATACACAATGCTTATTACCACAAAACACAGATCAAGTTTGAATTTTGGTGGCGTTACTTTAACCGTTCTAGAGTTATGCCCCTTTATAAATGGAAAAATTGCAAAATTTTAAGTTTCCGTTCTCTAACTTAAGTTTGCCTCAACCACATGTTATATAACTTATACACAATGCTTATTACCACAAAACACAGATCAAGTTTGAATTTTGGTGGCGTCACTTTGAGAATGTTAGAAATTATAAATATCTAGGTGTTATTTTTCTGCTTCTGGAAGTTTTTCTACGGCTAAATATGATTTGTATCAAAGGGGATTAAAAGCTTTTTTCAAGTTAAAAAGTACATTCGGTGAAAACATCCAAAAAAAATTGATAGTTGTTTACATATCTTTGACCATACAATAAAGCCAATTTTAACATATGGCTCAGAAATTTGGGGAACTTGTAATTTTAATTTTTCAAAATGTCAAACAAACAGCCCCTTTGAAATTGAGAAAAAATTTAGTAAGTTTGATTGCGAGAACTTGAGTTTAAAGATCTACAAATACATTCTCGGGGTAAATAAAAAGTCATGTAATTTAGCTGTTATGGGAGAGTTAGGTCGTACTCCATTGCATATTGAAATCATTTGTTCTATTCTTAAATTTTTACAAAGAATTAATGGTTTAGAAAAGGATCATTTGTTAAAACAAGCCCTATTCACAAGTATTGACACTCACAAATGTAATAAGTCATCTTGGTATTCTAATATTGTATATATTTTAAGATGTATTGATGTTGATATGGAAAGTTTTGACATTGAAAAAGTTAAAAATATTTTGATAAGTAGATATAGGATTTACTGGAAAAATACTATAGAAGATAATGCAAATGTTAAAAAAGGAAAATTGCGTACTTATTTTAAATTTAAAAACATCTTCAAAAGGGGAAGCATATTTATGTCAAGTTAATAAATTTCAGTATCGAAAAAGCTTAACTCAATTTAGAATCAGTGCTCATCAGTTAGCTATTGAGAAAGGTAGATATAAAAAAATCGATAAAGATAAAAGATTTTGTGGGCAGTGTAAAAATATGCAGGTTGAAGACCAGTTTCATTTTTTAATGGAATGCACTGCTTATGAAAAGGAACGGAATTGTATTCTTAATGAAGCATGCATTCAATGTAAAAAATTCCCTATTATTTCAAAGTATGAACAATTTATTTGGTTAATGTCATGTGAGTCTGAAAATGTTAATATGTCAGTGTCAAGATTTATAAGTACTTGTTTTGAAATAAGAGAAAATTTGCATTCCGGTAACTAACTAAATATACATGTAGTAGTGCTGTTACAGTAGTTTATTTATTTTTATGTATTAGAGAGGGTTAATATTCTATTTTATTTATTTTCAAACACCATCTGGTATGGAGTATAGTTATTTAATCATTTATTTTTAATGTAATATATCTAAAAAAATTACTGTATAATTTATTCTATATATATATGTATATGCTCGGAAACGGGCCCTTTAATTGGATTCAATAAATATTCTTATTCTTATTCTTATTCTTTAACCGTTCTAGAGTTATACCCCTTTATAAATGGAAAAATTGCTAAATTTTTATTTTCTTCTAAATATCAAGTAATTATTAAATTTGGAGTTATCTTCCTTTGTCTATGATTATAGTTGAATAAACTACAATCAATGCTTTATACAATGCACTGTTTAATTTTGACTTCCACTGATAAAACACAGATCAAGTTGAATTTGGGTAGTGTCACTTTAACCATTATTGAGTTATGCCCCTTTATAAATCGAAAGATTGCAAAATTTTTAGTTTCCATTCTGTAACTTAAGTTTGCCCCAACCAAACATTATGAAACCTATACACAATATTCATTACCACAAAACTAAGATCAAGTACAAATTTTTTGTTTCCGTTTTCTAACTTTAGTTTGCCTCAACCAAATGTTATGAAACTTATACACAATGCTTATTACTACATAATACAGATTAAGTACGAAATTTGGTGGCGACACTTTTACCATTCTTGAGTTATGTCCCTTTATAAACATAAAAATTGCTGAATTTTTTAGTTTGTCTCAACCAAATGTTATAAAACTTATACACAATCGTTCTAGAGTTATGCGTGTTTACAAATAGAAAAATTGCTGAATTTTTAGTTTATGTTCTCTACTCAAGTTAGCCTCAACCAAATGTTATGAGACTTACACACAATGCTTATTACCACAAAACTCAGATCAAGTTCAAATTTGGGTAGCGTCACTTTTACCGTTCTTCAGTTATGTCCCTTTATAACTATATAATATGCAAGTGGGGGCATCATCTGTGTCCACATGTGGACACTATCCACATTTATTTTAAATTATCCATTATTCAACACTTAATAAATATTTTGTCCCACCTCCCTACCCCTTGTTACATTAATCTTGGTTAAATACCTCTTCTTTAGATCTGGGTAGTAGGAAATCCTTTTCATAAACATGACGTCTGCTAAAGATAGATGGATTTACAAGACCATAAGCATTTGATTCATCTCCATAGTTCTTGTTATCGTCAACTCGCCTAATCCTGGGAGCATGGATGTCTGTTCTTATTGTAGGTACACCATAGGTCCTGTAATCTATAGATTTAAATATTTGCTATCATTACATTAAACTAGTGTATTTTTTCAGCAAACATATTTGAATAACCTCTGTAAAAGCTATTTAGTATGGGGATAGCTTTAATAGTATACACTTGTTCTTTTGACCATTTTTTTCTGTAGGAGTTGGGGGATTCAACATTTTACTATAGATGGTATTTCTTGATTATGAAGAAGCTTATACAAAAATTTCATGAAGCTTTGAAAAAGGCTATTGATGTTTAAAAAAACTTTACTTAAACCATATCTAAATGTTATCAGTAAAGTATGGAAAAATTTTGTTTGAAATTCTATTTTTAATGATGTCTCAAAAACCTTCACTAACAGACTGCAACCTAAATATTGACAAAACTGGTGACGACAGAATTTTATATAACAATGTTTCTCCTTTGCCATTTTTGAAGCAAGAGAGAAAAAAATAGCATGATTTTCTGTCTCATCAACCTATAGTATAAACCTTATTTCCTGATATTGACATTTATAATAAAAACATGACCTGCACATTCTTCCTATCATGGAAAACTAATGGAATGCCTTACTGTGTTACCCTTTTTAAATAAAGAATCATTGTTTTTTTTTAGCGTATTTTCCTTTTGTCTGACTGACCTCTGGTAGAAACTCCTCCAACAACAGCATTAATCATATTAGCACTTGTTCTATGATCTCCGATGGCTCTATCAATCTGTAACTTCAATCGTCGAGGTGTACTTTCTGCACTGTGTACAGATTTTCTGACTAAATCATCTGAAACAGCACTTTTGCTTCTTGAAGAATTAAGTGGAGTATCTGTTGGTGACAAAAAAGATACATAAAAAAGTTGTTTTTATATAAACTTGCCTTCTTTGTAAAAAGTAAATCATTAAGCGGGAAATTCATATACACTATTCAACACTTCCACAAGATTAATTCAAATTTTAAAGTAAACTATAGGGTTTCTTTACATTTTGCAGGTTCAACTAATTTGTAACTTAACTAAATGACAATCAATGATTTGTTAGCTCATAAATTGATTGCAGTGGTAACAAATAACTTATTGATTTAATTCATTCAAAGTGGGTCTCATTGGGGTCTAAGCGTGACGCGGGATTGGCCAATTTTTTTAAAACATGACACGTGAAAGTCAAATAAGCGGGATCCGGGATCAGACCCCCCCCAAATGAGATCCCCTTCAAATTGGATAGTCTAAAACATCCAATGGGTATAATGCAACTGATTATTATACAACATATATAAGTCACAAAAGTTAGTAACTTTGAAAAATGTGTAAAAAATATCAGTAACACTAATTACTTTTCTGACTATCAAGCAAATGTCAGATTCAGATTTCATAATTTAAAATTAATCCATAATAGCAAATTTTAAATTATGAAATCTGAATCTGACATTTGCTTGATAGTCAGAAAAGTAAATATTGTTACTGAAGCAATAATTATTAATTGATTATACCTGGTTTGTCTGGTAGTCCTGACTTCATTTTATCTTTCCAGTTGAGAAAGTTAGAGAATTCTACATAATCTATTGCTCCATCCCTGTTTGAATCACAACTATCCAGTAATTGTTCTAATAATTCTGGTTCCAGTGGTAAATGGTACTGTATACAAACGTCGCGTAAATCATTGATATCTATCACCCCTTTACCATCCTGTCAAACACCAAAAATATTAGTTAATATTTAAATAGCATGTTACTTATTATTGGTACTGCTTCATATTGTCTACATGTGCTAACTTTGCTAAATTATTTCAAACCAAAGTTTTTATGCAATAGTTACCATTTAAATCTGGCAAAATGATAAAAAAAAAACCAGACTTTTATAATAAAAGAATAGTAAATAAGAAAAAAAAAGCATGTGCTCTTTAAAGGTAAACAAAAATATTTGGAAATACAATATACTGATGGGAAGTACATGTAAGTCCTGAATCACATTTTAGGGTACATATAATGTGTGTTATATTTAATAATGATTAAAAAAATAACAAAAATTCTGCATTAGTAAATTTAAATGATCAGTGTTCTTTGGTCATGAGTTGAGTGTTTTTCTATAATTGAATTGAATTAGTTATAATTATTTTGCCTCTCAACTATGATGCTAATCCTGATATGATGAAGTGCCACTGAAATCAAGGAAAAAAGCTCCTCAATTAAATTTAGACGGCAAAAAATCAAGGTAAATATTTAATCTTTACCTTATCATAATATCTAAATGCATGTACAAGATCAGTAAAATTATGAAAATTGGCTTTCTTTAGATGTTGTCTAATGGCAGCTAGGACTCCCCTCTGTCTGTCCTTCCCTCTAAGATAATCAGCTGGAGCACGACCATGCATTAGGTCACCAGCGCCATACTCATCAGGTTTCGCTAATATACCATAGGTGTGATCAGGTCCAACTTTGAGAGTATCTTTAATTCTACAACAAACAATACAGATATCAATATATTCAAACTACTTCCAATAATATTTTATATATCTGATGCTTTTGATTTTATTTGAATCAATACAAAAGTTTTCTTAGAATCTTTGAGTTACTTTATATATAAGCATATAAAATGAAACTTCAAAATATATTTATCTAAAAAATGTTCTTACAATACAAGGATTTAGCTATTAAAACTCAAGAAAGTGCATTTGTCTGTTTGGTACATAATCTACAGCTTTAGCTAATATAGCTTGATCTCTTTACAATTTATATAAGCTCAATCAGGTAATAAAAAATATCTCCTAATGAAAAATTTTCATGAAATTTTGATTTTTCACTTATTATTTGGAAGTGCAATCTAAAACTTTACAGGCATTAAAATTATAAAGAAAGTTGAATATTACTGCATAGAAAACTTTTATCATGAGTTCTTGAGAATATTTTTTCAATGTAAAAGTACATATTTATTGCAAAATTATAACCAGCAGGTTAAAATTGCATTTCCAAATAATAAGCGAGAATTAAAAATTTCATCCAAAACAATCAAAGGGAGATAATTCATTATAGACCAATTCAGCTTATATAGCAAGATCGCCTATATTAGCTCAAATGGTCGATTTACAGAACCAGTCAAACACTAAAATAATATGAATACAAGTAGAAAACATTCGAATGTGAAATACATAACAGTGTTTTTTTTAAACAACTGATTGCATGTGCTCTGAAAAATTGGAAATTTTGTACTGGTCAATAATGTAAAATTAGAAAGATTTGAAATATTTAATGCATATGCCACAAATTTTTACAGAGACTTTCATAGTTCACACACTTATTAGCAATGAAGAGGAAATGAAAAATGAATGTGAAATTTTATCAAATATCTATAAAAACCTTACGGATCATGCACTGCTCCAAGTTGGGGTTGTGATCTTTCTCTAAAGTCATCTACACGTTTGGATACCAGTTTTGTTGCCTTTTCTTGTTCTGTTTCATGCATCCATTTTAGTGTTTTCTTTACTTTGATTCCTTCATTATTGTGAGGTGTTGGAATGCCAAATTTTTTCTCTGGGAAGAAACTAGGTGAAGTATATCCACGGTGAAGTTTTTCTCCAACATCAAAGTTTTTGTGTGTTTCTCTGTACAATTCCATGCCAACTGCAGATTCTGCCTCAACTTCAGCATATGTCTTGTTAGGATTAATCAAACCACCAGCACCAATATCTGTTGAAAAACCATTAAACATTAGTTCATCCTTATTGTCAAGCAGCAAGTACCACCTTAATTTTCTTACTTGATGAAAAGTAATGTTTGGAAAAGGAGGACTAATTAATAAAAACCCTGATTTTCCCCCTTTAATTCTTTGTACTCAACAAGAATGTAAATAAAAAAGTCCAACAACCATGGTGATATGAGAAGAACAATGGAATAAACAACAAATTTGGGTATTTTTTTTAACTAACTATCTTTTTTTAATCAAGATAAAGATTACAGCTGATGTTGTAATTCAAATAGTTTTCCAACATACTTCTATGGCTTTATCAATCAATTCCAGTATATAAATGCTTTTAAAGTAAATAAAAATTCACTCCTACAACAGGTGTTTCCTGAATTATTGTCTAGTCTCTCATCTTTTATAGATTTGATTGATTATGTTTCATTGAAAAACTAAATTATGTGAATTTGAGTAAGACAGAGGATATGACTTCATTATAAAAAAAAAAAGTTTTTGATTCATTTTGAGAATGAAATATGAATAAAATAAATTTTAAGGTAAACATCAGTGAGACTGCAACACAAGAAGATAATAAAACCAAAAATTTTTTTTTTAAAGTTAGCTTGTCAGTTTTCTATGATTATTTGGTGAAAAATATCAATCATCCTTGAACTAAATAAAACGTTTGCCCAGTTTGCAAGAAATTTACATAAAATCAAATTTCAATAAATAGCTTTGTTACTAAAGATCTAACAATGATAATTGATATTCAAAATTATGTATAGCAAAGAGAGGTATTATATTTGTGAATATCTTTTATAAGAACAAAACAATACTATACTGAAAAGATAAAACTTTTCCTTGTAGAATACCTTCATTCAAATTAAAACAGAATGAATTAAAATTCTTAATTTAATTACTAGTCTGAACTACTTATAAATGAAAATAAATTAGATGGAAATGTTTTTTTTTTTTTTTCACCAATAGATAGGTTTTGATATGACATTATTTAAGTTTGAGTTATTTAAGGTATTACTTACACGTTCATCTTCTTATTGACTACATTTTTGTAACTTAATTGAAAGGCGTGGTACAAACAAATCTAATAAGAGATCGTAGTGATGAATTAACCATGACTTAAAGAAATTAAAATAACCATAGATTTTTATAGGAATAATGCAATATAGACAATTTATTATCTGAACCATACCTAACTCTGTAGGAATTCCAAATGTAAACTGGTCCCTGTTGAGTCCTCTAGGTAAACCATGTGACTGCTCATGTGATATACCAAGAGGAGCTCTAATATGGCTGGCATAAATATTTTCTTTTCTGTCTAATTTTCTTTGATTAAAAAGTGTTTTTGGAGGTGGATTGGCAAGTTCTCCAGCCGTGTTTGATGATGTTGTATTGATGCCATGTGTCATTTCAGCTGCCCATTGTAAGTGAGGGTCCTGAGCTCTTCCATAAAACACCCTCATTTGGCCAGCATCAGGACGAACAGTGGCTCTAAATCTACGAATGATGTCAGCTGATGGAGGCTAAAAGTAAATTAATATATAAAATCTAAATGAAGTCCCAAAAAATTTTTTCAACAACATATGAATGTAGTGACTCACAGTTTAAAATGTTTTTTTTTTTTTTAAAGATAACCTTAATTACAGCAATATATAAACCATAATAATTTTTTCCAACATAAAACTATGATGAAATATTTGCACAATGCATATAAAAAAAAGTCTTTGCTTAGTCACAATTTTCAAATTTATTATTCCAATTTCTAATATAATAATGAAATGCATCCATGGTCCTAAATATGTTAATAATAGATATATACATTTATTATTGTTTTTTATTTCATACCCTATCATTTTTAGGTTTCATACAGAGTTCAGCAGTATCTCCTGATACTGTCAGCTTCCCAGCCTGAAATAAACAACACATACAATTTAGATTTCATACTAAAAGTCAGCAATATCTTCAGATACTATCTCTTTCCCCACCTGATATAAACAACTATTAATAGTTCTATGTGACAGTGTTGTATACTATGCTTTTACGTTGTTTATTTAAAATCATATTAAACAAGGAGACTGTGAGATTGTACATGAGACAACTCCAAGTGGTGTAGAGTTTTGAAGTTAGTACAATATATATATATACACTTGTATTTTAACACTATCCTACAGATGTCTACAGTCTAGGCATATTTTTTTTATCCTGTTGATCATTAACAATTTTAGAAGGAAACATTTTTTTAGACTAGATTTAAAGTGTTTTCGAGCTTGCCATATAATCTGGGTGCTTGCTCATCCTAATAAATCATTTTGTGATCTCATGTTGTTAAGAGTGCTGTCAACAAATTGTAGTTGATGTTCATCTCGCATCTCCTCTTATTCATATGTTAGTTTGTTGAAAGTTCTTCAAGCTACAAATTTGAACTATTTCACAGTTCCACTCAATAATAAGTGAGACAAATACACATGCAATATATGACATCAGTGATTGAGGACAGGAGGGACAGTTACATGTAGTACAACCACATGTTTTGAGCAAAAAAAGTTCTTATTCTCTGTGATATTTAAAATGTTTTAACTTTACATTGTTCATAAAAATATCAAGTCTAAATTTCCATCAGTCTCAGTTGAAAATAAATTGAAAAGTAACTTCCAAATTTCCTATTAACACCAAATTCTTTAAAGGACAAAAAAAAAAATTTATGTATTAACAAAGACAACTATTGATGAAGTTCCTAATTTGGAAAAGCACATATTAAACATATGGTGGGTTTTATCTTTTTTTTAAGTACTTATCCATCTCCCTTTTTTATCTCAATAAGTGCAGTAACAAAAGGTACACAGATGTTCAGGAAAAGCACTTTACAAATATATCATATTGTTACAGATTGAAAAAAACACATAAGAAGTTTATTTTAAAAAGAACAATGAACATCCCTGTAGATTTTACAGTGATTTCATAAATAATGAAGAAGAAAAAATCTGTGTATTGGAAAGACACCCACAGAAACTAAAGTGAGATGGTATAACATCATGTTCATATTCAACCATGTTTGGTTTTTCTAAGAGTTGTCTTGATACTAACAAAGGTATAAGAATAAGTACCCAATGTCCGGTAAGTCTGTTCATTTTGTTAACAAAAGGTTCAATGTACAGAATTATAGGACAAACAAAAATATATATGACTCTGCATGAGTATCCTATATTATAGGATATTTTTAATTAGGATTATTTTTGTGGTGTATCAGTGCCTCAACAGTTCAAATTCAAGGCATGTATCCTGTCGCAACCATGAAGATTACCAAGATGAGCAAATTTATTTTTAAAACACCAAAGATGAACAAACTGCCAATACTATTGATAATTAGACATATTTACACTGTTTTTATTATTATGATTATTATTAATGTTCAGCTTAATTTGGTCTCCGAAAAACCCTAGATCTGTCGCTGAATAACCTTCTGACGCAAGCAACAATCACTTTTCAATTATGACTGCAATTTTTTTAAATTGTGATGCAAGAGTTTGCTGAAATGGCAGACAAATTTGCATACAAGTGTAAATACGTCTAGTATCCTTGACAAATTGCACTTAATAATAATTCCATTAATTCATGCTTTTCAATAGACCTTATCGCTATTTGGGAATCTGCGCCACTTGAACTATTTACGTCATACAACAATCACTTTTCCTTTGTGGCATCAAACATTTTCCATTATGACGTCAAAATTTTGTGGGAACCTTTGTGATGTCCAGTAATGGCAGACAAATAGCGATAAGGTTTACACAGACTACAGAAATTAAGTTTTCATGTCGATCCGGCCCCACGTCGATCCGACCCAAGTCGATCCGTCCCAAGTCGATCCGGCCCAACGTCGATCCGGCCCATATTTAAAGTCGATCCGACCCAAAAAAAAAATATATTTATAAGGAATAAAAATAAAGATATATTTTAATTGTAATTCATAAATGTTTATGAATTTTATTATAATGTAAAAGGTGTACTGTAAAAAAAAATTGGCCTTTGACAAATATTTTCTTCAGATGAGTTTAAAACAACTATGTTGATTATGTTTTCATTACAAGTTTTCGAGATTAATGGATATAATTATAATAAAAACGTATATAACAGAATTTAGTACAATCAACAGACATCAACATTAATCAGCAGTAATTAGCATTTTCTTTCAATTGACTGTGATCTTAACAAGTCTTTCATCCTGTGTAATAACAAATAGTTACATATACTCAACGGTACAAGCCGATCCCCAAGCTGATACATACAAACTTTGTTTTTGTTTTAAGTTCTTAAAACTTCTCAAATGGCATCAAACTCCACTTCTACAAGATGGTTCCAGCGTTTTCAAGGAAGCCAAAACTGTTTCGAGGCAAGTGCGTCTGATAGATGAACAAAGTCTTGCCCGTTGGCAACGCACCAAGTATCAACGGTCACAGGGACACCTTTTCACTATGGGAGCAACTTCAAGATGGTACCATCACCACCTCCTTCTTCCTTCGTGCCGTCGGTAAAGTCAATATAGTTTATTCATATTTTATTATGGGGCCGGATCGACGTAGGGACGGATCGACGTGGGCCGGATCGACTTGGGAAGGATCGACTTGGGGCCAGATCGGTTTGGGGACGGAACGACCGGATACCGAAATTAAGAATAAACGTATTTACACTTTTGGTATTTAGCTATATTTTGCCTCCGAATGACCTTAGATCTTCTCCGAATCACCTTTTAACGTCAGACAACAATCACTTTTTAATTGAGACGTCAAATGTTTTGAATTATGATGTCAAAGTTTACGGGAACCTGTGTGATTTTACGTAATGGCGGACAAATTTGCATACAAGTGTAAATACGTCTATACAGAATGGTGCCATAATAAAAGCAAAATAAATAAATGAACAGAAAAAAATATTGTCTGTCAGAACAGCCTCCAATTTTGTTTAAACTTTGAAATGGAATACTTACTGGACGAACAGTTGGTGACCAGTCCTTAAATTTGCCAGTGTATATGCCCCCATTAAGACTGGGTAGCCTAACTTGCGTTTCAGAAGACATTGTGATCAGTGGTGTTGTTCTTCTTGCGCGAAATTTTTATCTCCTCTTTCAAGAAAAAAACTGTAACATCTATCAATCTTTCTATAGCATAGATGCTACAATATATTGTAAAAAGATACGGCCACTTTGCTCCCCTTTCCTCTTTTGTTGACAATGCCCTGGCAACAAAGGTCACAAGGTCATTTCAACATGCTGAAGTGGTTGGGACTTCTAGTTTCGCATATATTAATCGAAGTTTTTGTGATAAATTTTTATAGAAGTAACAGATAATAAAATTTCGTTGTATTTTATAGCTGAACAGGTTTTTTTTTTATCTTTTATGAATGACAAAAAAATCAATCCCAAATTTTTCGAAGTCGATTACGTTTTGGGTTTTAGAATGTTCAAACGTTCTTCTGATTCAGATTCATGGAAATTTTGACAAGTGACAAATACAACATAAACAGAAGTTTGTTAATTTACTCTGCAAATGCATGGAATCTTATGGTGCTACAGAGACACGGATTGACGATTCACCGAGTTTAGATGCTTTAAAATCTAATGGTAAATTTGACAGCTAATGTAATTTTAGCAGCTGTGCTTATTCATGCATCCATCTGTTAAATTATCTTAGCCTTAGGAAAGTAAATTATGGCTTAAAGAAATCGAATGGAAAGAAAAAGCAAATTATGTAATATATTCTACTTTTTGATAAAGTAACGGAATTCATTATTCTTATCCTATCTGAGGTTGGGGACAATATAGACAAGTTTCCAATGGCAATGGTATCACGTCTGTTTGCACCCAATTTTTATTCAAATACAGGTTGAATTATTAGATGTAGCTACAGATGTATTTATCAAAATATTTGTATTTTTGTCTCCCGCATGATGCATTGTAGGGGACATAGAAATACCAGGCGTCTGTCTGTCCGTCTGGTCTAGTTATTGCTCTCACGTGTACATGTACAATTCTTGCCAGATTTAACTAAAAATTTTACATGAAAGGTTTATATCATTCGGGGAAAACACTTCATAGGACATTCTGACATGAAGATATCTGATTTGTGACATCATTTTTTTCTGGGAAATTCCCCAGTTGGAAGATCCTGTATCACCTTAATGTTAATAACAGTTAAACTTATAACCACAGTGCCCCAGCTAGAAATCAAAAGGGGCAGGGTGCCAGTGGAGGGCAGGGCACTTTTTTATGAAAGGAAAAGGCACTGCTCATTTCTTTTGTCTACGTTTCTGTGTGTATCACAAGTTCACATTCTTTTTTTTTACTGTATTTGTTGTTAATAAAGATGCATAATTTGTTGTTTTGATTATTTATTCTATAAATTTTGCATTAGAAAATGTAATTCATACGACATGTTCATAAAACATGTCACCAACATTCATACAACACATCACTATAAACCAATAGAGGCAAATTAACTTACTATTCTCCCCCCCCCCCCCCCCCCCCTTTCCAAAAAAAAACAACATAAACTAAACATCTCATAGTATAGCATACATGTGACAGAGTTGTCTTATTTCAAAATTTTCAGCTAGAGTTTGGCCCTCAAAACTTTTTTTCATTGTTTGTGTTACAGAATTATTTAGTAAAGCTTCATCAAGTTGATCATGATGTCATGATATATTAACTTCCCACTACCCATTTTTGTAGGATTGCAGCTTAACATCATCATAACAATTGTACTTACAAATTTCTCACTTCACAATGTATAGAACATGGATTGCTAAAAGTATGATTATCAAAAATAAATTGCAATATATTTTTTTTGGTATGTTCAAAGACAGTTGATATCCTTAAGGTAACATTCTTATATAATTTTGTATTCAATTGGTAATTTATTCCTATTTTTAATACTAGATAATATTTTAGGAGCACAAATTTGTAATAAGCTAAAACAGGGGAAGTAACTCCAAAATTAATTTCTAACACGTTTACTGTTTGCTTGTCGCTCACAAGTTGAGATGGAGGGCGTTTCTGTGAAGGCATAGTTGTATTTTGATGACTTAAATTCTATTCTAAAGTCATGGAAGTCTTCATTTATACACTCTTCTTGGAGATCGAAAATGCCGACCCAAGCTAAAAACACTCGTTGACACATTCATCAAATTTATGACAAAAAGGTACATTGTCTTAATTAAATTACCTAGTTATTAACACCTTTGAAGTCTTATCCACTGTAATTGATTGTAATGACATGATTAACCTGGGGGCAATCACCTGGTGTCATATATGTAATTTAATTTTGTGATAAGAAATCGATAAAACAAAAGGCAATTTTACCAAAACGGCACAAGGGTTTATGGGAAAAAGGCGTCCGGGCAGAAGGGCGCGGATGAAGGCACCCAGGGAGCGGCACCCTTCTATTTTGGGCTAACGAGACCACTGAACCAATTTTGTTATGATTGATACTGCGATTCATCTTAGTAAGACCGTTGAGCTATTTCTTACTTAATCAAATTTTATTATGCCCCCGCCACAGCGGAGGGGCATTAGGTGTTACCCTTGTCCGTCTGTCAGTCTGTCCATCCGTCCGTACATCCTGAAATTGGTTTCCGTTCCTTAACTTTACTCAACCAAATGTTATGAAACTGATACACAATGCTTATTACCACAAAACACAGATCAACACAAAATTAACTTAAAAACCTGAAAAGGTTTATCTAAATTTTGTAAGATATGAGCTTAATACATGTAGCCTATACTTGGTATACATTAAGACTTGTTCAGGGTGCTATCTGTTTTCAGCTAGTTCATCAACATTTTAATTTGCCACATGAGAACTTAATCAGTGAAATTACAATCTTTTTATACGGCCGCAAAAAAATTTTGTGGTCGTATATTGGTATGACGTTGGCGTCGTCGTCGTCGGCGTCGTCATCCAGCGTCGTCGTCCGAATACAAATTGGTTTTCGCACTCTAACTTCAGTTTAAGTGAATGGATCTTTTTGAAATTTGACCATAAGGTTAAATACCACAAAAGGAAGGTTGGGATTGATTTTGGGGGTTATGGTACCAACAGTTAAGGAATAAGGGGCCAAAAAGGGGCCAAAAATGAGCATTTTCTAGTTTCCAGACAATAACTGTGGAACGGTGTATGGATCTCTCTGAAATTATACTACAAGTTTTCATACCACAAAGGGATGGTTAGGATTTGCTTTGGGGGGTTATGGCTCAAACCGTTTAGGAATTAGGGGCAAAAAAGGGGGAAAAACAAGGTTGTCCTGGTTAATGGACAAATACTTTAGTACAAAACATAATTTAAAGCAGTGTAAGGGAGATAAATCAAATACATCATTGAAATTATCTCCCTTACACTGCTTTTAAATTATGTATAAAGTAATGGTTAATGAACAATAAAGATAATCTAAAACAGTGTAAGGGAGGTAATCCAAATACAACGTTTTGGTTACTTCCCTTACACTGCTTTTAAATTATGTTTAAAGAAATGCATATTTATAAAGGAAGACCAGTAAAAATATCTGCAAATGTTTTCATCTTTTTTTTTTACAAAAAAATCCATATGAAAGATTTGACACTATATTTTTATTAATTCTATTATAAAATAGATTAAGTTAGCACTATGGTAAATTTAAATGGGTAATTATGGTTGCCAACTCCATTGGAAATTTGAATTGAGATTATGACCATATCTTGAGGGAAAGAATTTTTTTTTGGGGAAAAAGGGGGGGGGATAAAAAGAAATTGTGGGGGGCCAATTTTTTCTCATTTCAGATTTCAGAAATTAAAAAGAATTATTCTTCAAATATTATTTTTTTTTCAAATTTCAAATATTGAAAAATTTCAAGAAGTAATCTTTAATTGCACAGTATGGCGCATTAGATTTGTAAAATCTTTGATCACATTTATTTATTTGTTATGCCGAATCTAACAGTGTATTTAGATTTTTAATTTTGGGTCCAGTTTTCAAATTGGTCTACATTAATGTCCAAAGGGTCCAAAATTAAACTTTGTTTGATTTTAGCAAAAATTGAATATGTATGAGGTTCTTTGATATGCTGAATCTAAACATGTATTTAGATTTTTGATTTTTGGCCCAGTTTTCAAGTTGGTCCAAATTGGGGTCCAAAATTAAACTTTGTTTGATTTCAACAAAAATTGAATATATGGGGTTCTTTGATATGCTGAATCTAACCATGTATTTATATTTTTTATTTGTGGACCCCGTTATCTAATTGGTTCATATTGAGGTCAAAAGGGTCCAAAATTAAACTTTGTTTGATTTCATCTAAAATTGAATTATTGGGGTTCTTTGATATTCCAAATCTAACCGTGTATTTAGGTTTTTAATTTTGGGTCCTGTTTTTTAAATTGGTCTACATTGAGGTCCAAAGGGTCCAAAATTAAACTTAGTTTGATTTTGACAAAAATTGAAATCTTGGGGTTCTTTGATTTGCTGAATCTAAACATGTGTTTAGATTTTTCATTATGGGCCCAGTTTTTAAGTTGGTCCAAGATAGGGTCCAGTATTTAAACTTTGTTTGATTTCAACAAAAATTGAATATATGGGGTTCTTTGATATGCTGAATCTAAACATGTATTTAGATTTTTGATTATGGGCCCAGTTTTCAAGTTGGTCCAAATTGGGGTCCAAAATTAAACTTTGTTTGATTTCAACAAAAATTGAATATATGAGGTTCTTTGATATGCTGAATCTAACCATGTATTTAGATTTTTTATTTGTAGGCCCCGCTATCAAATTGGTTCATATTGAGGTCAAAAGGGTCCAAAATTAAACTTTGTTTGATTTCATCGAAAATTGAATTATTGGGGTTCTTTGATATGCCAAATCTAACCGTGTTTTTAGATTTTTAATTTGGGTCCCGTTTTTTAAATTGGTCTTCATTGAGGTCCAAAGGGTTCAAAATTAAACTTAGTTTGATTTTAACAAAAATTGAATTATTGGGGTTCTTTGATATGCTGAATCTAAACATGTGTTTAGATTTTTGATTATGGGCCCAGTTTTCAAGTTGGTCCAAGTTGGGGTCCAAAATTAAACTTTTTTTGATTTCAACAAAAATTGAATATATGGGGTTCTTTGATATGCTGAATCTAACCATGAATTTAGATTTTTTATTTGTGGGCCCCGCTATCAAATTGGTTCATATTGAGGTCAAAAGGGTCCAAAATTAAACTTTGTTTGATTTCATCAAAAATTGAATTATTGGGGTTCTTTGATATTCCAAATCTAACCGTGTATTTAGATTTTTAATTTTAAGTCCCGTTTTTTAAATTGGTCTACATTAAGGTCCAAAGGGTCCAAAATTAAACTTAGTTTGATTTTAGCAAAAATTGAATTCTTGGGGTTCTTTGATATGCTGAATCTAAACATGTGTTTAGATTTTTGATTATGGGCCCATTTTATAAGTTTGTCCAAGTTGGGGTCCAAAATTAAACTTTGTTTGATTTTAACAAAAATTGAATATATGGGGTTCTTTGATATGCTGAATCTAACCATGTATTTTGATTTTGGACATTGGACCATAATAGGTAAATTAAAAAAATTCAAGTTCTTAGACCACATT